CAAGTTGAAGTCCAGTCTTCACTAATGGTGATGATGCTACAGTCAGTGGTTATTATTATACAAAACATATGCGAAAATAAGTTTCAAAATATATTTACATAAATATATTATGTACCAATTAATCATTCAATCGAAGAAATACATTCACATATGCCACATTTGAAAACAAAACAAAACTTTATTTGTCTATATTATTTTACAATGAATATATAGAATATATTATACTATGTTCCAGTTACTCACTCGCTCTCTCTCTCTCTCTCTCTCTATATATATATATATATATATTGAGACCATTATAATACATTATAATCTCTAGAAGGCTATTCCATCCATATTTGCATTAAACGTAGGCTACTGTAAGATTGGAAATGTATTTTCTTGCCCCTGAAATGCATTTTAAACTATATTTTGGTATATGAACGTTGAAACCAAATATATTTTCAATTGCAAAATTGTATTTCATTGTGAGTCACTGTTTACAACATATATTTAAAACATATTTTGGTCAGATTATTTATTTTTATTTGCGGTATGGACAGATGGATTCTGTTTGCAGTGAGACTCTTCTCTCACAGCGAGAGGCAAATAGAGGACAGCAGTTTATGTGTTTGTCACCAGAGTCCTGCAGTCATGCATGACAACAACATCAGTTTGTGCTGCTGAGACACACACACACACACACACACACTCACACACACACACGGCTGCATGTCGACCCACTGCAGGCCTCAGACTCGCAGAACAAACTGCTTCATCATTCTGGGTGTTTAACTGTGTCTCCGCAGGTTAAATGTGTGTGTGTGAGAGTGTGTGCGTGTGTGTGTGAGAGTGAGTGAGTGAGTGAGTGCGTGCGTGCATGTGAGTGTGTGAGTGAGTGCGAGTGAGTGTGCGTGTGTGTGTGTGTGTGTGAGTGCGCCCTCATCAGTTCTGTGACCTTTGCCCTTTGACCTTTTCATTCGGATCCACATGCATTTGACAGCGCAAACCAGCAGCTGTGGGACACTCGACGCACCTGGCCTGAATAATGACACTCTTATCTTACGAAGTTTTTAAATAGTTTCATGACTGATGCAACATTAAAACTTATTTTCCTGTTTATTACTGTAAAGCTGCTTTGAAACGATCTGT